AATATGGTTCTGTGAGAAGACTGTGGCAACTGTAGATTCTGCTGTAATTACATATATGTTCTCAGTGTGCAAACGAATAGTGATATTCTGGACCATGCACACAACCTTGTCTTTCTTGTATTCCCATAAGACTACCTAAGAAAGGATGGCTACACTATTCGCAGTTCCCTTGGGGCTTACTACTCTGAAAAGTTGATGTCGTGCTTTAGCCCCAGCCAGCAACTAAGCACCACGCAGCCACTTGCTCACTCCCCCCTCCCCCAGTGGGACGGGGGAGAGAATTGGGAAACCAGGACAGTTGAGAACTATGGGCTCTCACTATATTTGGTGGGAAAAAAAAAAAAGGTGCCAGAATGCTTATGGCATTCTTCTGCAGTCAGTACTAGTACATGGAATATTTTTACAGTTAGTGGAATGACTTCTTAAGCATGATACCAAATTGCTTCTAAGATGATGGACATGAACCGAGTAGCTTTCTGCCTACTGAGGCAGATCTATTATTTGTCAGTTAGATGTATTTGCTTTATAAGGTGATAACTTGGCATTATTTCTTCACCCAGTGTGTAGTCAAAGTTATTACAGGTATTTCCTGCCAGTTGTTACCTCATTTATGGAGATAGCCATTCAGAAATAGTTCTCTTACAGCTGAATTCTATCTCTAGAGTCTTTGTAGTTTTCATACAGTGCCCTCAATACCATCTGAAGTTGGTATGAACACTGGTTCATCAAGCTGCAAGTAGACAAAGCTTTGGTAAAAGAGAGTGCTGTTATTACATCCTGGCATCTAGCTATTCTAATCTGGAACAGGTGGTTTGGCTACAGCAACAGAACTTTAGAGGCACAGAGGAGTTGCTTACTTGTCCCCAGAAGAGAAGACAATAAAATAAAAGACATATTTAAAATACTATTCTAAGAATTGTCTACATATTCTCCAACAGTAATATGTCTCCACCACAAAACACCCCAAAAGTCTGGTTTTCTGAGGGCCAGCAAACAAGGCAGGTACAACTGATTTCCTCTCTTATGCAGCAGGCAGTATAGAGAATTACTCGCTCCTTTTCATGCAGCAGTGATCTGCGACAGTATGTGTCTAAAAGAGTGTTCAGGTAAGAAGACTTAGACCTTGCTGCAAAACATGAAGACTACATGCTGACTACAAACACATTCTGAGAGAGGGTAAAATAATTCTTTGTTTCATTTTTTTAACACTGAAGATTACAAAGGCCCATTTAAGTCTTAGTCAGTCATAAACTCTCTTTTGAGCAATTAAAACTTCTTAGAGGAAGCCTGACCTTGTTTAAATACAAAACTATAAAACCATGACCTTTTTGAAAGTCTCCGACAATTAGTATTACAGGAAATGACTCTGCAGAAGACCTTAAAACAACCATTATAATAATAGCATATTTTATTTAAGAGACACTGACAAAATCTAAAACTCTTTTATTTGTAGAACCATATAAAATTAAGTTCCTGACAACAACCACTCATTTTAATCCTGTTCATTCTTATAAACTACCTTAATTTGCATCGGCTTTTCAACTATTCTGTATGTTGTATAAATAGGTAAGTAACTATGCCTTGAAGACTTCACAGTGGTTTTTAAATGACTAAGCAAAGCTTAGCTGCCATTTGCAATTTCTCTATATATCACAATTCCGTCCTTATGCCAGTCAATCTACAATCAACACAAGCTGATTTCTCCCAACTCTATCTTTTGGCTGCCTTCTTGTGTGCAGCCGCTGGAAATGAAAATAAAAACAAATCCTGGCTCTCAAGGCACAGGCACTTCAGAAGGTAGGATTTACATTTCACTGTGTTTATGAAGAGGTCTGAGGCTAGCACATACGGCAAGGACAGAAGAAAAGCCATCAGAAATTGTTAGATTTTAGAGGGGTCAAATATTAGAATCACTAAATGAAATCACTGGATACAACCTCATAAAAAGCAAGCACAGGCATTATTATAAAGTGCAGTTATTTTCAGGAAAAAATATCTTATAAACATGGTGAGGTTCTGACAGAGCAAATCTGGTGAAGTGACAAGGAGATAATTTTTACCAACTCTGTAATGTGAGATTCAAATTTCATGGGCTTTATTTTTATTTTTCATGTATGATAAATAAAAGAAAGATTCTTTGCTTCTGCTTTAAGACTCCAGAGACACTTACACCTCTAAATGACCTATTTAGTGATAACTGTATAAATCAGTGCCTACAGTAGTTTTGTTTTTCTGGCATTTGATTATGATACCCTAAAAACACAAGGCATAAATGTAACACATTAGGTAATTAAGAGCTATATGAAAATGCTGTGGAAATGAAGGGGTGTCTGTCAGCTGAGGTTCTCAAATCACATTCACATACACATTTAAAACTGTTCGCTTTAGCCAAACATGACAGTCTAGGCTCAATATCAGCGTAATTATAAAATGCTATGCCCAAGTTATATACAAGTTATATGCCATGTTTTCCTTAGTAGCAGTTGACAGGAGTTAAAAATATGTAAGAAAGAACATCTCTATTTCCTGTTGGTCCTGTAAAGAAAATACTAAACATATGCTCTTTCCACTAGAGGCAAGAAAATCTTTTACAGAGACAGGACCTTTCCACTACTTGTGCTGATGTAACTTCTTAGATTAACAGAAAGCCAAATGAGGACCAGATGGTCTTCATCATTTTAAACAACACCTGCAAGAATCACTGGAGTTGAGAAGCCTCAAACCTCAAAGAGGAATTTGTGGCTCTTTGCTGTTCACTGTATTCCAGAACAGCTATCTCTGTAAGGACAGATGACAGCAAAGCATGTGTGTATATTTGTCTATAATAGTTTAAAATAAGGTGGGAAATACATGTTTCATACATACATGCAACAACGTAATTAAAACAAAAGGCAAGTAAGGACTCTATCCTCCTCAGATTTGAGCTATATAGTGTTTAATTACTTCTGCCTTCTTGGACAGAAACCAAACAGCCAATTTTAGACACTCTCTAAATTTACAAATAAGCTCCTACATGCACATTCTGGGAATGCTACTGGGAAGCAATTAAGAAAGTATTAATACATATACACACTATATAGATATTTATGTGTGTGTATATATATAAAACAATCAGGAAGAGTCTAGGGAGAAAATCAGAAAGATGGAGGTTTATGGAGACTACAGTGAAACTGCAGAAAGAAGGCAGTTGGTGTGATGGAAGGATACTGGGATTTACAACTAAATTAAAGAAGATAAGAACATGTATGGAATACAAGAAGGTAAAGGCATGTAAAAGTCAGAGAAGAAAACCAAAGGAAATGGAGAGAAAAACAGGGAGAAAGAGGAAAAGACTAAACAAAGAAAAAAGAATGGGGAAAAAAAACACCCAAGAAAGAGAAAACAAGAGATAAAGTGTTCTCAAACACAAGCAAGAATGCAGAGGAGAGTACTATATATGGCAATACAAAAAAGGAGGGAGTGAGGGGGAATGAGGGGAGGCAGGGAGAGAAACTGATGCTTGATTTTGAAGATAGTCTTCGTTTTATTCCGCATGCACAGGGGCACTGTGTGTATGCATGTCTCCAGCTTTCTCCTGTCTCCATACTTGGGACCTTTACACAAAGTTTGGCAATTTCTTTTCTCTGTTATCTCTCACTGTAGAACTAGCCACAATATGACAGAAGGCAGTCTAGTGTGATGGGAAAGAAACATGGAGTGAAAAGGTACTTTTTTGGACCAGACCCACATCTTACAAGTAGCACACTCACATGCAACTAAACAAATAACTATTTTAACAAATGAATGCCCTTCACTATTACTTCCTTAGATACTTTCTTCCTCATTGCAAAAATATATGGAAATCCTCTTCTGACCAGTATGAGGACGGCACATCACATCAGTCAGTAAGTTTACTGAAGAAAGTCTCTATCTACAAACAAAAACCAAAAATCAGTGGCAGAGGCTCTTGTATGAGGTTTCTTTTTTCCCTGCAACTGTATAAAAATAATGCTGTTGCAAAACTTTTATAAAAAAAACCCACTGAGTTTTCACTCTCACATTAGTGGACAGGCATTCTGACATAGGGAAATAGGAGGACAAGGAACAACATCCCCCCACAACTTATAAGAATGAACTAAACAACAACAAAAAATCCATGACTTTGATCAGAAATGGAGACATGGTCTTGCTGCCCTGACCTAAGATGGAAGAAGAACTGTTGGCCTACAAATCTTAAGATGATGCAAGAAAATCCCCACTTTTTATAGCCTGTATTTTGAGATGCTGAATTTGTTGGTTTTGAAATTGTTGCAGTTTGTATCAAAGGGTCTAGAATTTCACACCTTCTCCTCTGTCTAGTGTAGTCTGCAGGTGTTAGAAGAGCTTGCACTTTCAGCCTCTCACAAAGCATGCAGCTAACTTGCAGCAGAACCTCCTCTCCATGTCAATAATATTCCTTCATTAAGGAGACATATATTGGATAGTTATTTAAATCAGGTGTATGCATAAGCACAGTGCATATGCATATATCATGTAGCACATCAACACAGAATGATCAAGAAAGTTCATGCAAGGATATAGCAAGAAAATCATCTATGACTAATACTACAGTATATGTTTCGTGTTAGGAGAAAAAAGACCATTAGTGCATGAAAACATTAATTTTTGAGGTAAAATGCAAAACCAAACCATTTTATCCTTTATTAATTTAATGAAAACTAAATTTTATTTCAGCTGTGTTGCAAATATTTCAAACAAAAAACCAGATAATTTTAATACTGCCTCTAAACTAGAATCTTCAGAATTCCCTGGAAATCATATTACTTCTGGATAATTATACTTTCAAAGTTATAGACAGATTTAATCAAAAACATACAGGTTATTTTTCTTGAACAGGCAGTATTAAAACTGAAAACAGCAAAGAGAAGAGAAGAGAAGAGAAGAAAGCTGATTTTTAAACATGCAAAGACACAGACCATAGCTGAATGATATGCCTTAAAGGAAAACAAAGGGATACCTACTTTCTGCTGCTAGAAGTCCTAGTAGGAAGGCAGCGTTTGGACAAACAACAAACAGTATGAAGATTTCAGAACAAGTGATTTATAAAGCTGCAACGTAGCACACTAGTTTAGCTACAAAATAGTATGAACAAACTGACAAGAACTCCCCCCCTTTTTTTTTTAAAGTATGGTTTCTATGTGTGAAGCAAAGGGGACTTGCAGACTGGGACTGGAGGAAAACAAACACTTGGCATTGGGAAGGTAGCACATGTATGCAGGTACCTATAATACTAGACTTCTTCCAACATTGGTTAAACTATTTAAAAAAACCTCATGGACAAAAAATGATTTCAAGTAAGAATATCGTAAGGGGTGAACTGACAAAATGTTTCAACATACTGCAAATGAAGCATAACATACTAATTTAGTTATATTTACTAACTAGAATTCAGCAATATTATACTGAAATAAATTTTTTTACTAAAGTTTCAGTGAGAACCAGTATGAGAATCATTTAGAAATACAACCACTTTATTATTGATTTTAATTAACAATGACTTTATATATTTAAAAGTTTTTGCATTTAAACATACCAGTACAAAGTTTAAATAGCTGAAAAATCATAAAGATAATAATGGGAAACACTCAAACTCATGATCTCAAAACTGATAGTCAGTTACACCTGTTATGCTAGATAAGGAATTAATAACAGTAAATTATAAAGTGAATGTAATATTTTCTTTCAAGCACTCATACTTAAAAATGTTACACAAGACCTTTCACAAATGTTTACAAAATGTGGTAATTTTTGCATAACAATATTTTTTTTTTCTTCCTCATATTGATGAGACTGATCGTTTTTAAGACATGGGCTTCTACTGCCCATATTTCATGGAAGCTAAATCCCATGAAACTACTAACCACTCACTAACTTGTGAGTTAAGCTAGTTCCATGTATGTTGGACACAGTGATCTTACAATTTGGCCATACATTTGCTGTTTGATCCCACTCTGACAGACTGTCAGATTTAGCTTTTTTCCCATTATTATTACTTTCAAATTTGAAAATCAGGATCTCATGCTGTTAGAATTTTCTCATTTGATATGACAATATAGATTCTAACAAGATAAAAAAGGAAAAGTTCAATTTACATACAGCAATCCTGAGATGAAATATCAAAATGCATTTATAAAAGCCGTATGAAATTTGTGCCTCTCACTTTGAGAAAAGAAGCTAGAAACACTGACGTAGACTTAACGTGCCTGCTTTCTGTGCAATGCAAAAACATTGCTTCTACATTCATCACCTTACACTGTTAGCACAGAGCTCAGAAAGCACATTAAATGTTCAGGAGGTACTGCAACAGTACTAGGCTAGGCTAAATAAGGGCATTTGGTCAGTCTGTCATACAATATGTTGCTGTACTTCCTCTGTGGTTAAACTGAAACACAGCATCATAAAATGCCTTACAGGGATTTAGAACTGTTTGCAGCAAAAAGCTACCCCGAAACTTGTTAGTCACATTTCAGTGTATGAGCACTGTAAACCGAGCAATTCAAGCAGGCATTATAGTGGAAAGTCCTTTAACCAAAAGGCAATGTTTGCTTTAATCTAAAAATCAGTTAGACAGTTTTCCAAAGTCTATGGACTATCCACCGGCTTAACTAACACTGACTCAGTAGTTCTGAAAATGGGGCTGCAAAAGCTTTTTTGGAAATACAAAGTTATAAAAAACCTCTTCAGTTTATTGGCTTTCCTAATTGTTGGCCTAAAGACCTAAGCATCCTGAATCTACTTAAAATTCCACAGTAAACTAAATGGTCTTCCTGAATTCAGCTTCCCAGGTCAAAACGTCAAACAATTCCACAGCCTTTCCTTGGGCTGCCGCAGAATGGGGGGCTGAAGAAGCAAAAGGAGAAAAAAATGAAGAGCTTTATGCTGGCGATGTTTGTTCTTCAGCCTGAGGCACTGTTATCAAAACACTTGAAAATCATACCTCCCTACTCTCCGCTAGGGGACAAATGGTCAGCATACGACACAAGCTGAGGAAATCCTCTGTCTTGATCTAGTGTGCAATCAGGCGACAGGAGAGCCAGGGAGGGCTGGGGAGAGGGGTGGGAGTAGGATGGGGAAGGGCAGCAGAGAGCGAACCGATTGTGAATTTCTCTAGCACCTAATTCCTGTAACGCTCCACTTCAAATACTCTCTACTGGGCCAATTTTCGGCCAGATTTAGCCTTTAGGGCTGCTGATCGCTAACTTCTCATTTATATTTGTTCCAGCATATTAAAAATATCAAAAACATTCACTGCCTTGGGAAATTGACAATTTATAATGTCTTGAAGACAGGCAATCTGAAAGTAAAATGTTTTACATTCTAGCAAAAAACATTTGCAGCAAAGTCGTCATTTCAGCTGTTTAGTGGCTTTACTAAAGAAGTTACTCAACACAGCCTATCAGCAGTAAAGTAATATTTTAGTTTAATATTTACCTTATTTTTCAAAACATTTTAAAAGCCTTTATCATACTCTTTCAAAATTCAGCAAGACTGACTTCTGCCATGTTACCAACAGAATGATAGAGGGATTAAGTTAAGTCCTTCAGAGGACAGCTGCTGATGAAACAGGAGGTAGATCACCCAGAACAAGCTGTGGGAACCAATAATTATTAACACACTCTGTGCGAATGAAAGGAAGATGTGTACAGAAAAATACCTGGTTGAATTTAATTTAAATTTATCTGTGTTCACTCCCATCTAATTTAGTTATGCATTTTGCTGTCCCTCATTGGAAAGCTCTCTGACAAGAATATCCTTTGTGGTTCTGCATCTAAGAAAGTCATCTGACTTGCTACCTATAGTGCCTTCATATCCCAGGCTATTACTCTGGTAGCATAGGAAGATGCTCAAAGGGTCCAGCAATCCCAGGTTCACTGAACTCTGAGGAAGAACACTGCTAGTTTAATATGAAAAAAAGACAGAACTGAAAATTTTTTTCTCTGTTTAGTAAGACCTGGAGAAGGACAGGATATACAATTTGCATAACCTAATAAGCATTTATACTTCTGCATCTTTATCTCAGTAGGAGTTCCACATTTGCCTATTTCTGACAAATCATTTAATTTTCATGGTAAGCTTCATGAAATTTTATGGGAGGATTAAATAGGCAGCAACACTTAAAATATTAAACGCTCTTCATTAGCGTTTATGATCTGGAACAACATTATGAGATGTTAGGAAGGAAACTTAAATAACCTTAAGATAGTAAAAGTTTCTACTGCAATTCAAGGGTTTTATTGTCTCATTTCTATAAACTAGTTCAGTTCAGAATCATCACAAGAGCGAGAAATATTTGAAAACTTTATTAGTGTACTTCTGAAGAGGAAACAAAATAGATTTCCGTATCTAGTAATTTCAGAAGCTGAAAGTGGCAGTATCTTTTCATGCAAGTCTCAGTGTTTATCCTGTGATATTAAATAATTTATCAGCTAACGCAGTCGGTCAGGGAAACATCATGAAAACAACCCACTTAGTATGGTTTCCTGATTACTGTGATCTCCCAACAGTGAGATCAACAATGTTATTTTAAAGAATAACTACACTTTCCTGAGAAATCCAAGCTATTGTTTCAGTTATTTCAGACATGAACACAAGATAACAGTGGATCCAGCACAGATATTCTGTAGAATTTACATGTGTACTGGATTCATGTATTCTGTGAGCAGAAAAAATAGAACTTGTACCTTTGCTGTATACTGGTATCTCCAATTACATCATCCTATGAGGAAGACATGTGCCCTGTTGATGTGAGACTGAAACTGGAAAGAGGAACTGCAGTTTTTAGATTAGGAAAGTTGCCACTGCCAATCATGTTGGTGGCCTATTCATTTTATTGAAACGAGGGAAGTAGCTGGAAACAAAAATTAAAGCCAGTGTATAGCTAAAATATCCCACCAGTACTATTTTGTTCTTTAGAAAAATACAAGACAGAGTCCTATTGGCCTTAGATTTTTCTTAAAAGATCATTTAACTTGATCCTAAATCCTAATTTTAGATCAGATAGACCATCCCAGACTTTGGCACTGCAAATATTGTGAGTAATGCTATGTCAAAATTAAGATCATAACTATAACAGGGCTGTGTTAGTACAGGAACAGTCAGGTTATCTGAATAATAACTTGGAGTAAGGTCGCTGTCCTGCCTGAGGCCTAGCTACATGCTCACAGCACAGCAACAGTATTATTGAAGTATGTTGGAAGGTCCTTGAAGTACATGTATTGCCTCTCTCTGAAGTTTTGGGGGTCTGGGTTACAGTATCAGAAATACTGTCCAGCATGCTTTAAAGAGGAGATGTCTTAATTATACTGTTCTCTAAAACAGATCAAGAAACTCTGGTACACAATGGTTTCTTTTTATAAATAACTGTAAGTAAGGTAGAAGAATCTTGCTCCTGATGAAGAAGTCAACACAAAAATTCAATAAGTATTTGTACTCAAGTAATATAAAGAGAAATATGAGGTTATAGCACTATTTGTAACTAAATGTACATACAACAAATAAAAAAATCAGACAGAATTTCTGTAGAAACTTACAACTGTGCAGAGATTTTATCTTCATTTTCTCCAGTCACTAACACCATTGTGACTGAAAATTATTTATGTTTTCACATTTAAATGTTAACTTAGCTTGCAACTTTATGAAATCATGAGAAACTAGTAAATATTTGGTACTCTAGTCAGTATAACATTAAGACAGGTTGACTGCAGTAAATATACTTTCTGCTAAAATACCTGAGGAAGTGGGGTCTTCAGAGAAGTCTGGCAGCTCTTCAGGGGGGTCACCATAGAAGGAATTGAATTTGTGGCTTGACACAGCTGCTAGTACTGCCCCCTGAATAAAAATACACACAAAGTCTAAATTACACAAAAAAGGATAACGAAACATTTCCAGACACCTTGGATCACTCAATCTCCCGAGGTCTCTTGTTTGCTGACCTTCTCATGGAAGAGTAAATACATTTTATGGTCTTCAGCTCTGCTTCACTGTTACCGGTGACCATATCTAACAGAACAGCTGGTCATACACTATTCTAATAAACAGTAGACATATTCTTTGTGAGGGGATTAATGAGAACACTTTTTTATGGGAAAGCATTTAGAAATACTAAGTATGAGGCAGCATAAATTCCCATAGTACAATGTAAATAACTAATTTATTTCTCTTCCTCTCTTACCTAGACTAGGTGGCTTAGCAAGTATAAAAATTCACTCCTTAAAACAACACAATATGCTGTTATTTGAGAAATTGTCATAATCTGACACTGATGGGATCTGACACTAGAACATTTGACATCCATAATATATGTGTATGAAAACGTCATCATCTCAGACTCCCATAATAAGTGTTAAATAGGAAGCTACAAAGACAGAAAAACAGTTATCTGCTCTGACATATATTTACTTCATCAAGTAAATTACAGTTTAACCACTCAGGTTTTAATGTCTTACAGTTATGGCAGTAGGCAAAGATGACAAATAATTTCAGGAAACATACTGCAGAACAGTGCTTTGGATAAAATGGTAGAAAACAAATAACACAGGTATAAAAGCTCTCAGGAGACTAAACATAGTGGCCTCCTCAGGAAGAAATCTGGGAAAGACCTGAAACTACATCTAGAGCTGGAAAATAGGTCATATTCTAAAATGTACCAGCTAACATTTTAATGAAAGCATTACCTGGACATACAAACCACCTAAGAGAAAGTTCTGTTAATCATTAACTATGGCAACTGTTGCAGCCTAATCATCACATCAAACTTTTATAAAGCAGCAACTCGGCATGTGTATCTGATTCTTGTGAATTTTTATGCTGCATGCTTCTGTTAAAATTTTCTCAATCTTTAAGTGAGTTTAAATTTTTTTCTGTTAAGCTTGCCAAGATAGGAACTGAAGGGAAACCATGTTGTTTTGGGCTAAAATGTTAACTTTTTTTCAATATGGCTGAGAAATAATCTTGTGTAGGGTTAAACATAAAGGGGGTAAACTGAAAAATACATCTTTGCTCTTCTTGAAAAAAGACATTAAGACATTATTATGTTCCTTTTATTATAAGTATAATACAATAATAACAGAGGCCATTGTACCATTCCCTCCTCTCCAATAATTCATATTACACAGAATTACTGAATTAATTTAAGATGGAGACCTCATGCACACCTCGGTTGATACCAGACAATTTGCACTGAAATTTAGTTTGAAAACTATGCACTAAGAAAGAAAGGATGAACACCCTTAACAAGACATCATTGCAATAAACAACTGTGAAGGCCTGTTTCAACTTTTTATTTTATTGCTGACTTCAGAGCATAGATTTCTCTTATCACTTTTAAAATGAAAGTAATTATAACATTTTATACACGACATTCATTTTACCTTTAGTTTTCGTCTTGCATTGAATTTTCTCAATTGTTCTACTGTTTCTGGAAGATGAATCTTGTATGCATAGCGATCTCTCTCCTTAAAAACCCCCACAAAAAAAAAACCAAAATAAAAGAAACATTAAATACAAGCTCTTAATATTCTCTCAACATTAAGAAACTCGACAAGAAATGTACCAGCTAGTAAGTACCCTAAGAAGAATGTGGATTTGTTCCAACTTAAGGAAAACTTCAAGAAACTGAAAGGGATTAAATTATTTTGAAAGAATTCTTAACTTGGACCAGGGATAATTTCTTTTTGTAATTTTGTTTCCGCCTTTGTAGTAAGACCCTAGCCTTTTGTTTTACTGTTGCATTGTTAGTCAGTCTGTGGCTAGCATTAAACTTTGAAGCTGACAAGCACAAAGTAGTTCTGCTTCTGGGATTCACAACTCCCAGTAAAGCAACGTGTTCAAGCACTCTTTTAAGGGGTGCTTGATACTTTGGGTAAGCTTGGGAGATGGGGTATGTGTCCAACAAAGCAGGAAGTGCCAGCTCAATGGCTGGTAACACCAGGAGCCAGCTTACAGGAAGAATTCCCCATTGTAGATGAAAACAAAACATTTGCCAATGAACAGCAGACAGCGGGACAGAACTTGCAGCAGCTGACTACTTTCTTCCCTTGCCCCAAATCATCACAGAAGCTACATACACTTATTAATTTAATGTAAATGTTTATCACATGCATTTCCTGAATCAGAGTGGAATCACTGGCAGAAGTAGTTAAGTCTCTCTACAGCACTAAACGTGTCTCTGTCTCATGCTGTATTTGGCTGCTATCTATAAATGGTTTAGAAGAAAATTCTGAATCAGCAGGGAATGCAGTTGCAAAAATGAGAGGACTGAATGACAGAATGCTGGCCTAAGCTTGGAAACAAAGTTGTCTCAAACTAGATCTCTCTCCTTGCTTGTCTTTCAACAAGCAACAGCAAGATCAGAAAGACACTACAGACATCAAAAGTGCTATGCTATATAAGCAGAACTTGTACACTCACATTACAGAATTAGCTTTTTAAAAAGTCTCATCAGCTTAGTTGTTCAAACAACAAAAACGGCAAAGTTTTCTACCAAAATAACTATCAACAAAAGCCTTGCTTTGGCATCTAAATGTGGGTAAGCTCACAAAGATGAACAAAAAGTCAAATTAGAAGCAGGTAAAACCAGATCACCTGTGTTTATCACAGACTTGATCACTGGAGTATGATCACTTGGGATTCCCAAACATGGTGTCCATTCCTATGCTCTTTGAAATATTTGGTGCACTATGTATGCCCCAGATGAACAGACAGAACTTTGTCTCCTTTCCAGTGGAAAGGTTTGAACGTGCAGTTTCCCAATATTCAGTAATTAGCATTAATTAAGTGCGTTAACCACTGTTATTCCCAAGAGGTGCAGTCTCCTGCCCTCCTTTTATAAACTAGACCATTCTGCAGCTTGGAATACAAGAGTCAGAGCCAGAAAGAGAACAGAGAAATGGAAGAATGACTCCATTCACTAGTAGTTAGACCATTTACTTGGAGGAAGAACAACATATGAGCCTGCGCTTCCCCACTCCTTTTTTGTGGGGTTTTTTGGTGTTAATATTTGTCTAATGTAGAACATAGTCCAGGAGCAGACACCAGAATAGCAGCCTTTCCAAGTAAGTGCCCTGTTTAAATTAATGATACTATGACTCACTCTATCCCAGGCCCACACTATAGAAAAGAAATAGAGGAGAACAAAGAAAAGTAGTTAATTCATCAGTTTCTGCCAAAGAAAATACAATGTGCTGAACCAGTACTTGCCACCTTTTAAATCTGCAACACACCCATCATTCTCCAACTCCAGTGTTTAGCACAGCCTATTAATGAGACTGCTGAGAAGCTAGGTGGATATATATTCTGCTCCTGCCGTTAACCTTCAGTGTCTAGCAACTACTCTTCCACTGGCTCAAACTGTGTTGTAAATTCTGCCACCACTGAAAAATAATTTGATTACCAGACGACACATAATTTCATGTAGTTACAGCGACCTTTGAGCAACACACCACTACATGCTTCCTTCAGCCTGGTGGGATATTTCAGTAATCTAATGTAAGAAAGCAGCACAGTTCAGTAGCATAATGTACTGCAATAAACTGCATGGTTACATGCATAATAGGAAAGAGGTCTAGATATGATTAAGCAAAGAAGAGATGAGAAATTACTCCTCTGGAGTTTGAGAACCACAGAAAGACACATGAATACCTTCTTCAAGCTTTATTCTACACAGCCCTATACTCCCTATACTCTGAACCTGCCGAAGATGCCTACGTGAGTTTGCTCTTGCTGTGAAGCAAGAGTTCAAGCCAGACAATTATCAAAATCTCAGGCTCTAATCTTACAGAGCATTTAAAGCATATTATCACACATTTTGTACAGTGTCACGTCTACTTTGAAAAGTTCAAAGAAACAAATAAATAAATCTCTTTCTGTCTTGAAAAGGAAACTGGTATGTAAACAGCTGCTTTTACTACCTTTAACCAGGGATGATTCAGTGCTTCATATACTGTTATCCTTTCTGCTGGATCCAGCATAAGCATGCGGCGTACCAGATCTTTGGCACTTTCAGAAATATGGCTCCATTGCCTAGGATTCATCTGATTACAAGCAAGAATAAAGAAATTAAATTAGTAATAAGAATACAGAAAATAACCTACTTTTAATGTAAAGTAATTGCAGAGATTTAACAGTGGTTGGTACTTGTAAACATTTTATCATAATAAATGTAAAAGGAAGTTTCTAAGTTTTTTAATAACTTAAAAATTAGTTGTTATTGAAATGGCATAAACAATTGAAAACGGTGAGCACTATATCATAGAAAAGCTGACATATCCTTGGTATTATGTTAGAGTATAATTTTTCACCTATGCTACAATTTGTTCAGATAAAAGTGACTCTTGCTAGAAAAAGAAAAAATAATTAGCCTTTGTCTGACAGTTAACTATACATATGATAAATGTAGAAATTAAATCTACTCCTGAAATCAAAATAAGGAATGGCATGACAGCCTATCTGTATCAACCCACAATTTCATGCCCGTGATGCTGAGTTAGAAGGGAGCCAGCTCATGTCTGTCGTGAACCAGTCTGGTCCTGTCCCACAAGTATCATGGACAATGGCTCTTCCCAATAAATTCCTTTCAACATTACAACAGTTAAGCATCTTCAGCCACCACTCCGGTAGGAAAGCATATTGACATGTGATCAACGATACAAGCAATTGCAACACTTTTTAGAGCAGAACTGTATCTTTACGAGACAACACTGTGAAGGACGACTTAGAATATATTTTCATCTTGTACATATGCAGGTTTGTGTCCAGTTAGTCAAGATGATGGACACCCAATAAAACCATACCAATGTAAGAAAATTCCTTCTGCGATAAAGGATTCTATCCTTAAGCTATTTCTAGTATTTCTTTAATTTATGAAGAACTTAAGTTTTATTTAGATGGTACACTGCTAATATTACAAGGTACTAAATGGAAATCCAAATTATAACCAGACTCTTTTCAATGTTATAATCTGTTCATTTAAAGAGGCCCACTTTATTTAAAATCAGTCTTTAGGAAAAATTATCACTTTAAATTGGAGCACTCAGGAAAATTATCTGGCTATGAAATGCGCATTTATAGTTGGGATTTGTAATTTCTTTTTCAGCTCTAATGAAATGAAGGTAATTGCAAATTTGCAGCAAGATTGTTTTGAAATCCTTATACTATTTTCACTGAATAGACATGTTATTGTGGAAACAGGAACAGAAAAGGAACTGAGAAGACACAATGTGCTGGCCATGACTTTTTTTTAAACAAAGAAAAGTTAACTTGTACACTTCCAGAAGGTTTTAGCTGCTTAAGAGATTCTAGAAAGAAATCTTCCATAAAGTGAAACTGGAACGTCTACCAGTCTATGCAAAACTAGTGCCATGAAGAAATCCTGCTGTTTCTAGGAATACAAAACTTAAAGAATGAAAAACGTGCTCCTGACCAAGTGCAGTAGCACTGCTTAATTTACATTTTAGCAGACTACTGCTAGGTTCATATAATAAAATACTTCCTAAACCATATTACAGACTATCAGCCAGTTTTAGGAGTTTCCAATCTTAATTAGCTAATACACAGCTCATGTATGACTTTGGTTGCAAAGTAGAGAAAAACCGATCTTCAACAAAACCACAGTTAAATCAATTCTTTAAATTTGTCTCCATTATGGCTCCAGGATGCTTATGTTGTGAAACATGCTTGCTTGCACACCGATTTGCTTTGAGTTGCAAGTGTCTCCTTTTGAATCATCTGCTGCACTTTACTAACACTGTACTAAAAAGAAAAATGCATAACTATACTTTTACAGTAACATGCATTTTGTTTTAAATCAGGGCACTATGATGACCAGCCTTTATGATAGTTCTTTTAGTTGATTAAAAGATTTAAATGATCAATAAACATAAGGTAACATACAGTATGTTATACTTCACAGCTAAACCTTATCTAATCCTACTGAGCTTAATGTACAATTAGGGGCTAGTTGTTGCACCCATTTATTATTTCATCTGAGTAAATACTTCCATATTCTACTTTCTAACATTGACACAAAACACA